ATCCGTGAGCCCTACGACGTATCCACTCGGCCATGCTGCCACGATCTCGTCAGCCTTACGCCGCCAATTTGTAGTGATTCTCCCCCAAAAAGCTCCGTAACTTCTTTCTGGGAGGTCCGCAGCAGATATGGAAGACGGTTTCGTAATTCCCGTCCGAAGACCTTTCAGCCGGTATACATTTCATTTCAAATGGCCACTTCGACCTACCATCCTTCCCTTGTGAGTGGAGAGTGCCTAAGCGCATAAATCACCACCTTTGCGATTACATCACCTTAGTCTAATATTGCAAGCATACTATATCAGTGTCGCACGCTTGAAAAATCAATTGAAAGCCGCATTAAAAATGAGAACTGCAAACGATTTAGTACCTCGTTCTTCCCTTTGCTCAGGGACTTGTCCAATATTCCTGTCGCTTTCACCATCTCCACACAGCGGGTTCAAGTCACAAGGGCTAAGGTGCGTTGGATGAAGCCTAGAAAATATTAAAATAATGCTGGCAATTAAGGGAACACGAGCACCGACGAAGGAACTTCTGTATTGATCGCGTTCATACCCTGGATCTTTTGGACGTTTTTGGCAATCCACCGGATAACCGAAAACGTCGATACGTAGCTAATACACATCTGTTCTGAGCGTAGTCGCCGGAAACGTCGACGCGAGCGAGGAAACCTTAGCCTCAGAAAAGAAAGAGGAAAAAACCCTACAGCTGGGAGCGTAGCAAGTTTTCCGGTCAGGTCATCCACCCATCTTACGTTTTCTCCGCTTGAAGTGGTCATTATTGCCTACTTTTGAATGAGGATCCCATATAGGAGTTCGACAGTCGCAGGAATTTTGTAAAATTTTCAACACTTTTGAGATGTAGAATTGCAAATTTGTATTAGCATTCCCTGGAATGCAGCGATTCATAAAACTAGTTGAGTAGAACGACTAGAAAGGAAGTGACTTTATTCGACATTGTACCGTCGCCAGAGCGAGATATTCCACTTGCAGGTTGGTGGTGACCTGACCTATCCGGAGACTTGCACTACTCTCCGTTCTGATCACTGTGACCTCACACAGTCTAGTTTCTTGGACTCGCCAACCCCGGAATCCCGACCCCATGAAAACCGCCGCCCTGGTTACGTACCTGGTCCTTCGCATCATACGTTATGGCAACTTCCATCTGCTGCGCTACACGGTTTTGCGACAGGACCACACAAAAAAACCAAGCCAAGCCCCACACAGGATCCCTCGGTTATGCACAAAGCAGACCCCGAACGGGGCTCGAACTCGTACATATCTCCCACTGCCCGGGCGAGTGCGCTATCCAACCCCTCCCCCTAACTAATAGATTAGCGTTGAACTTGATGAGCAACGGGACGACGTATGATAAAAAGGATTGAGTAACAGGATAAATGTACATCTAAAACTAATCGGAGACGGTTGGAGTACGGTAGACTTTCAGGGAATCTTTATACGTGGGAATTCTGAAGAACATTCCGTACATGCCCGCTCCCCTCTTTTCAACTACCCTTGGAATTTTTCGGACTTTTCCCGAATGCTACAGCTTATCAGCCCTACAAATTGTAAATGAAAGCGAGAGTTCAAAAACGGTTTCATAGCTCGTGATTCGCGCAAAGCTGTTGTCCGAGTGGAGCTTGTGCCGGGCACCGACACGCCTGGTCCCGCGCCGAAATGTAGACGGCGATCGAATGCGTGTCCTTTAAGGTGGGGGCTAAATCGTGTGAGTGGGCGACGTTTTCGGCCCTTGTCAACCTCATCGACCTCTTTGAGCGAATTTTCCCGACAAAATCTTCTGGGACAGTTCCTAGCTTCATTTACTTCCCCTAACCACTTGTTGTATCAACGCTTTTATCCCCGAAATCGGTTTCCTGCACATCTGTTGGCAGGAAGTCCATCGCAATGTTTACCGGATAAAAACATTTAGTCCGCTAGGTTTTTAATCAGTCGCTGTTCTTTATGTGAGGGTTCTCTTGTCGAGAACTAACTCTTCCGCTGGGAACACTGGCTTACATCATTTCCCATTTTCCTTGTAAAAAATCAGAAAAAGAATCACATTCCCAATTTTCGTCGATTTCAGGCCAAGATGGAGGAAGCTGGAAGTTCGTTTCCTCAGCGAACGGCGTCAGTGTAAGTTCTGATAAGATTCTATTTTCTAGTCGGAAATCAGCTGCTATCCCAGAATCTGGGGTTGGGAATGACTCACACTGGTTGAGTTACATTATCACACTTACATGGGCCAGGTTGGCTTGGGGGGGGGGGTCGCAGGTTGTCTGTCAAGCGAAGCTTTCCTCGTCTTTCCTTTTTTCTCCCTCTTTCTTTTTTTCTCCCTCCTTCCTTGTCTATTCCATCTTCCGTATTTCCCTCCCTTCTCATGCTTAGCCAGAACCAGATCACGTCCTACATTGGGGAATCCCCAGCGGGAGGTCGTACTTCGTCGCTGGAGGGAGGGGGGAACTATTGGTCGTAATTGGTCTGAGAAATTTTTTTTGATAGTTGGTTTTTTCTGTTTCAATGACGCTATTCACATCGTTGGAGGACTGGCGTTTTTTTTTCTTGGGAAAACTCTTGGGAAATTTCGGTTAAAGATGTAGGAAGTGGCAAGAGATGAAAGATAGTAGATAGGATGAGTAGGGAGGGTCGTAATTTCCGGAAGTTTTCACCAGCGGCAGGACCTCCCTAGCCAGACTATGCGATGAGGAAAAACCTCTGAACCCTCGCAGAGGGAGAAATCCGGTTGGCAGAGAACCTGTAACGAGTGAGGGGCTGGAGAAAACCGTTCGTGTAAAACTGCGACGGTACTAATTCTCTAATTCTATTGGCCTCCTTGAATGGTTTGGTTTAGGGATTTTTTTTCAACAAACCGACATGAAAAAACAACAGGTAGCCCAGTGTTTTAGATTTATTGGTGCTGGGCTAAAGTGCAGCGCTAAAGTGCAAATTTCGCTGTTTGTTCTGCTCACGCATTTTGAAACAGGGCCCATTATCGTTGTGGAGTCTACATCAAGGGGGGGGGTCGTATTTATCTGACGACTTTTTTTGGTTGTTTCGGCCCCTCCCCCCCATCCCCCTTCTCACTCATTCTCAGACTCTTAGGCTGCCTTGGCGGCATTTTATTTATTAATAGCGATCCGTAATATAATCGAAAGTTGAAAAGAATCGATTACATCGTCGTCTAGCTCAACGGGTTTTCTGGTGTGGAGTTGTACAGTAAGATATAAGACAACTACAAGACTCTCTAAGATTTCCGGTCAAGAATCAATGCGGCGAAAATCCTTTCCCCTTCCTCTTATTCCTTCCTTCTCCTCTTCCCCTTTTCCTCCTTACTCTTTTTCCTCCTTCTGATCTCATCACCTCTTTGCCCTATTGTTTCTTTCCTTGCTCATAATGCTCGCTCAAGTAATGCACTGTGGAGAATACCTCTTATCGCCTTCGCTGTGAGAAGACATCTGGTTTACAAAAAGCCGGTTAGCCCATAATTACGAGCATAAAAATTGAATTCTTGGAGTTTTCCAACATCCTTATATGCAGCTCATTGAGTTATAGCTTAGGTATACCTCCAATGTTTTCTCATGAGCTGCATTGTCAATTGTCTGTCCCTTGGAATTGTCCCGTTGAAAAGGCTTTTATACTTGAATGCGTGGCATGGCTGAGCCTAAATTTTTACAGAGGGCTAATATCTTCTATAACAAAGGTCAGTGGTTCCTGCAGGAATACTTTTTAGTTAATGCGTTATTCGTATGAGCGCGAGCTCTTAGACTTAAGCGTTAAAATTACCAAATGAAGTTTACGTAATATTATTCTCGAAATGGAACAATAAGGCAACCATAATATTCTGGCCATTACTTTATGAGAGACATGCGGTAGTTGCAAGTGCGCGCTTACTACGTGTGCCACGAGCAGCAGGGTCAATTTCCCGATCGGCTCTTCCGCTATAAGCCAGACAAGTCATTCTATACATGGGGGCAGTAAATTTGGTGCGTAGGCTTTTCTCTGGGAGATGATAAACATGCTTGTAAGTTGGTGTTCCTCCGCAAGTCATTGTAATACCTCATTCAATAAGCCGCTACGATTTTGAATGAAGAAATGTGTGCCACATCTCAGGAAAGGATTATGTAACGTGGCTCGCAAAGTTTTCAAATTTATCCTTTATCCTATATTTGTTTGCGAGTTTTTTAATTTTTGAAATTTAGGAAGAAGCGGGTTTCCGTTGCTTGTCAAACGGACGTGCCATACGGTGCGACGAGCCATTCTTCATTGGCTCAGCCGAATCGCACGGCATCGAGTGGCTTATTAGGTAATTTTTCACGGGTTTTTGGTGTTGAGCACATTTGTTTTTATGAATTTTATTATTGAATTGTTCAGCTGTGAACCCTTCGAGCACCCCAGCAACAAGTTCTCGGGCCACAACGACTTCACCCGCGACCGAAGAGCAAACGTTAAGGGTTACAATTCAGCATTTTTCGAAGATGGTGGATACGCTCTGCTCTCCATGTAAACGAATCAATGGTGTTCCATGGTATGATTCAACAGTTTCCTTTTGATTTTTTATTTCGAGATTTCTCCCCTGTTATTTAATTAATTCTGCGGGAGATCGGCCAGATCGTGTTCACAAATAGTGCCATTAGGGAATCTGAGAATAAGCGAAGGGGCGCAGAATATCGGGAATAGTCGCCCGGCTTGGCTCATGGAGGCATTTTGGGAGAACCGGAGAAGTGGGATGTCGGTAAAAGGTAAGATTCGAATCGGTTCGATGGATTCCGTCCAAATGGAGAATTGACAAATAGATTCGTTTCGTTCTGTTCGTGCGTTCTCCAGTTCTTCGACTCTCTCGCTCGGCGATGGCATTGAAACACTGCAGATCACGCTGGGAAAAACGCAGGGGGGGGTCATGATTTGGCTGCAGGGAAGGGGGGGTTGTGGTTGCGCTGAGAGTCCTTGTTTGTAGATCCGTTTAGGCGTTCATCATTGGTCAGGGCACGTCACGTTCTGGATCCTCCGCGAGGCGGGGATCGTACTCGGTCGCAGGAGAGGAGAATTTTTTCTTGGGTTTTCGTTTTCCTTCTCAAGTGTGCTTCATTTCTACCCCCCCCCCGCTCGACGACGGTTTTTTATAGTAAGAAACTGTAAATTTTGTAGAAAAAAAAACCCGAAAAACTGATAGGAATTTCGGAGAGTTAAGAAAGATAGTAGGTACGGAGGACGACGAGCAGGAAATTTTGAGGGGGATCGGATCCCGATCCTCCCCAGTGGCAGCTGGTGCCCTGATCCCAGTAGGAGGGTCGTCTTTTCGTCTTCCATCAACGGTAAAATTTTGGAAAAGTACCTGTGAAGGGGGCTGTACAGAAAGCAAAATTTTTGAGGGGTCGTATTTGTACAAAAGTTTACCCAAAGCGATGCTGTGCCCTCCTTTCAATACTCTGACCGAACCGTAATTAGATCTCAAAAAACCACTCTGATTCTATTGTTGTAGGAGGATAATGGTAATGCCAAAACAACATATGGTGCAGAAGAAGAACCAAAAGTGTATGGGCTTTTTCCTGCAATGTTGTCCAGACAACACCTATTCGGAGTGAGTTTTTTTTTCCATTTTCGATGAAGAATGATATGGGTAGGTACTACTGTGTCAAAGTTAATACTTCTATATTTAGTGCGTGGACGTGTCAATCTGTAGCAGAAATGCGGTTGATCGCCCAGAAAAGTGGTGTACAAAATTTCGTGCGGAAAACTACGCACGTATATAGTGCTAAAGAAAATGATTGGGGCTATTCGTGCTTTATGACTTGGGCGGTGAGTTTTTAGATTTCACGGTAAATTTGCGTTCTTACTTCGCGTCAGCGATTCGAGCATCTGTCAGTGTCTTGAGCGGCTAAGAATGTATACATATCGATTACCTCTGAAAACACGGGCGGGTGCTTCAAAACGCTTAGAGACTCTGCCAAAGTATGCAACGTATTCTAATTATGGACTCTTGTGCGAACAGCATTTATTGCATACTTTGTTAGGATTACTTGACGAAAGCAAGGGCTAATGATAAAGGATGGACCGATGTCACCGTTGCGAAATAACTGTGAAAGGGAAGCCCCCAAAATATGATGTAAGATTAATTAAGAGTTTCTTTTCTGTAAATTGCTGTAAGTTGCTCTAAGTAATCCGCATTTGTAGGTCCCGCGAAGACTTTCGGAGATCTATTGACCAGTGGTACAATTTAGCAGAAATGCAGTTAGCTCGAGGACAAGTTGATCTGTCGATTGAAGCAAATCAGCAGGTACGTTCTCGCGCCACTTGCGACGATTGTTCTTTACATGTGAGCCCAGTTTCGGGTAAGGGTGGGTATGATTTGGAGAATGTGACGAGACAATCGTAATTCGCTTTGCCGACGGGCGTCGCGTGCGATGTCGCGCTGTTGATGTTGCTAGGCATTAGACGGCGACAAAAGTACTGTATACACAGAATATAAAATACAACGTCAAGATTTTGATACAGAAAGTACACGTTCAAATGACAGAAAATAAAAAAATGCATTTAGTTTAGCTGGAATATGGTGCTCCAGTCGTCAGGCTGATGTAAGTTAAAACAACGCCCACCGTCAATGTGCGCGGAGGAGGCAAATTACGATTGTCTTGACTATCTCCCAAAAGGTTAAAGAGCTTGTTTTCAGGAATGTCTCCTCTTGAGAATTAGCTGTATTTTCTAGAAGTCCTTTTATTACTCAAAATTTTTCTTTCCTGAACACTTAGGCATCTGTTATTTTTACGTCTCAAGAGAAGAAAACTGATGTTTCAATGGTGTCAGAATCAAATCGATCGGCTATTTTTAGGCGTTAAGTTCTGCAGATGATGGACAAACTAAATCGGCAGGAAAAAATGGAAGCACAAGAGATCGTTGGTGAACCATAAATTATAGAGAGTTATTTCACCGATTGAGATAAGGTACTTTCCTAGCTCTTAGTTTGAAACGAAATTCAGTTTACGATGAATAAAACTCCATTTTTGCTGCTTTTTTATAAGTGACTGTTTTGTAGTGAAAGATGTGCCAAAAGGGCCTGGGGATGCGCTTCGTCCGACGTCTTTACGTCAAGCGCTAACAGGTGCACAGAAGTCGGCGACTACATCAAAAGCAACTAAAGTTATAAAAAAGGAAAGGCGTGGTATTGTTCAACAAGGAAAAAAGACTGGAAATACATTGGCATTGAAGTAAGTTGACACTCCTACGACTATTATTGTGTAGTTTATAAACTGAGTTCTTGTAAAGTCCTCTTATAAAACCTTCCACTTGTTCAGAAACTCGGAAAGGAAATCGGGCGAGGGAGATGACGACAACAGCAACTCTCTGAGCTCCGAAGAGTCCAAGCAGAAATCTGACAAAGTTGAAAAGGTAAGAGAGTATCGGGTCTTTACATAGGGTTATATAGAAAAGGTTAGCAATTGCCTTTTGAATCAACTCAGTGGTGGGTGAAATAGAATGTTCCCTGGGCTTCATTATGCTGGATCTTGTTACTGTAGATAGGAACCTGGGAGGGGCTCATACCGAAACTTAGAAATATCCGCTCCATATCCTGGAGTTGGAGTAGGTGTGCCTGCTACCTCATATGAACAAGGCATAGCTTGCGTACTCGGTGGTATTTTTCCATTTAATACAACTGTCACCCTGTTTTGTGCTGGGCAGCGACCTGATACATTTCCACGGGAGGAAAATATCAATCCAAGATACGAAGAAACGCAGCCGCAGTCTTTTCCATTTCTGGGATATGGGGTGTAAATATTGGACGGGAAAACAAACGTACCCTTTTCCTCTGCAGTTACGAACAGAAAAAGTCGAAACTTTTGAACCCATCAAGAGTTGCGCCACAACACGAGCCTTCAAGACCGAGTAGTTTTTCAAAATTGGTTTTCATCTGCTCAAAAGCGCCTAATTTTCGTGGTGAAGATGGAGGTGTGCTCAATTGTCAAAACCTTTGCTTCAATCGAATTTTTCACAATTTCCTTTCTTTGTGGAAAATTATATGTATGGCGCTTCAGACTGACGTGAAACAAAATGTGGAAACTCGCAAACAACGTAGCAGAAGTCTCAGTGACAGTGACACCATGAAAGTGTTAAACACGAGAGAGATGTTGAAAGATCAAGCGGTATGCCTTAACTCATAGTTGGCCTTGTGAAGGAAAATAGGAGACTCACCTTGTGTCCGCGAAAAGCGTTAGATACTCATCGAGCGGTGTCCATTATTTAGTTAGGCTAAAGAGTCGAAATTCCATGTGTTAGGTTGGCGGGAAAGTTCTGTCACTTTTTCGAACTCAAAATATTTGTCCATTACCTGAAGAGGGGTGAACGGTAATGTGAGCACTTATACATCAAAGAGTGGTCTTTCTATTAGTACCACTCGCTTGATTCCTGCTTCTTCTTCT